ACCAGAGGGGATGAAGGGTGGGCCATGGAATACACTTCTCTACCCACATCTCCAAAAACAACAGTTGTAATAGCATAGTCAGGGGTGCTGGAACAATTTTTATAGTGGGGGTGCTGAAAGCCATTGAACCAAACTGTAAACCCTATATATAATGGAAACCATTTCAAGCCAGGGGGTGCTGCAGCACCCCCCGCACTCCTTGTTCCAGCACCTATGAGCATAGTGTTTGGTAAAAATATGCACTGAAGACCAGGTAGCAGCCCTGAAAATATCCAATACAGAAACATCACTGAGGCATGTGGACAAAGCCACTTGGGCCCTCATTGAATGAGCCACCAGTCTCTGTGGACATGTGGTGGTGTGGTCTGAGCTATCCCATATACCGTTATAATGCAGGTGGTGGTTCAACCAGAAATTGTCTGTGCAGAGACTGCCTGACCCTTCACTCAATCCACATAGGAGACAAAAAGCCATGGTGATGAACAAAATGGTTTAGCCCTTTTCAGATAGCATGCCAAGCATCGTCTCACATCCAGTGTATGAAGGCACTGTTCATCTGCACTTGAGTGTGGCTTAGGAAGGAATACAGGTAAGTATATTGGTTGGTTAAGGTGAAACTGTGAAAACACTTCAGAATTTTTTTTGGATGCGGCCTTAGGGCCACTTTGTCTCGGAAAAACTGCATATACGGAAGCCCTGTCATTAGGCCCTGCAGTTCCTTATTCTCCTTGCGGATGTTATGGTAGTAAGAAAAGCTGTCTTTCAGTAATGGAGGGACAGAGAGCAAGTTGCAAGGGGCTCAAATGGAGGTTCCATGAGGGCAGCCAGTATTTATGGTCCCACAACAGAACCATTTTTTTCAGACATGGAAAGAGACAGACAACACATTTCAGAAATCTGACTACATGTAGTTGGGGAAAAAATTACTTTCCTTGTATCGGAGGATTGAATGCCAAAATCACTGCTAAGTGGATCTTCAATGACCTGAGACGCAGACCTGCAGACTTAAGATGTAACAGGTAATCCAAAAGGTCCTGAATGCAGGCTAATCTTGGCTGAATTCCTTGACCCAGTGACCAAACTGAAAAACACTTCCACTTGTCCAAATAGGCAGTCCTAGTAGAGGGTTTTCTCCTTTTAATTAGGACTTGCTGAACTGATTCAGAACATCATCCTTCCTCCTCATCTACGCCAGGAGACACAGACTGCTCAGTGCTGGATGCCAAATCTGACTGTGGTTTGTCAGTAGGTCGAGAAGGAGGGTGAAGAGTTCTGGGAGACTGAACAGATAGAGTAAGAAGGTCAGAGAACCAACATTGTCTTGGCCACGAGTATCAGTTTTGCATGATCCATCTTCAGTTTGAGAATAATCTCAGAGATGAGTGGGACTGGGGGGAAAGCATACATCAGTGCCGATACCCAATCCAAATGAAAGGCATCAGTTAAAGAGCTTGGACTGAGACCCACTGGAGAGCAGAACTGACTGCACTTCTGTCACAAACAAGTTGATTGTTGGAATGTCCCATTCTCTGAAGACGGACCGCAGAACAGTGCTCTTAATGGACTATTCATGATTCTGGGAGAAATTCTCGCTGAAGTGATCAGTCACCTGATTCTGAGCACCCAGTAAGTGTGAGACTGTGGAAATGATGTCTTCCTTGATGCAAAAGTGCCAAAACTTTATTGCTTCCTAGCAGAGCTGATTGGAGTGGGCTCCTCCATTCTAGTTTATATAATACATGGTAGTTGGTAAGTATGTGAACCACTGTGCCCTTGATCTGAACCCAAAAGGCCCAGTACACAGTGTAAATGGCTTGAAGTTCCAGGACGCTGATCTGAAGGGAAGCTTCTTGTTCTATCCACAAACCCTTCAACATCCCCTAGATGTGCTCCTCAAACTATTGTGAAGGCACTGGTAACTACAGTCCGTATCGGTGGAGGACAGGCAAAGGGAACACCTTTGCACGACTTAGTCGTAAGTGGAGCACAGAGGAGAATATAGCTGGTAATAGCGACCATAATATAATTAAATTTAACATCCTTGCTGGGAGGGAAATACCAAAGAAGCCAACATAGTAGCATTTAACTTCAGAAAGGAGAACTACGTAAAAATGAGGATGCTAACTAAATGGAAATTAAAAAGAACAGTCATGAAATGCCTGTAAGCTGCATGGAAACTTTTTAAAAATACCATAATAGATAGGTACTCCAAGTAAGAGGATCAAAAAATGCCACCATGACTAAACAACAGAATAAAAGAGATTGTTAGAGGCAAAAAGGCATCCTTAAAAAATTGGAAATCAAATCCTACTGAGGAAAATACATAGGAGCATAAACTCTGGCAAGTCATGTGTAAAGGTATAATTAGACAGGACAAAAGAGAATTTGAAGAGCAACTAGCAAAAGACTCATATACTAACAGCAATTTTTTTTAAAGTATATTAGAAGAAAGAAGCCTGACAAACAATCAGTGGGCCACTGGACGACCAAGGTACTAAAGGAGCACTAAAGGAAGATGGGGCCATTGCGGAGAAGCTAAATGAATTCTTTGCATTGATCTTCGCTGCAGAGGATGTGAGGGAGATTCACACACCTAAGTCATTCTTTTTAGGTGACAAATCTGAGAATCTGTCCCAGATTGAGGTGTCAACAGAAGAGATTTAGGAACAAACTGATAAATTAAATAGTAATAAATCATCAGGACATGATGGTATTCACCCAACTGTTCTGAAGGAACTCAAATATAAAATACAAAAGTGTAAACTACTAACTGTGGTATGTATCCTACCACTTAAATGAGCTTCTGTACCAGATGACTGAAGAATAATTAATTACGTCAATTTTTAAAAAGGGCTCCAGAGGCTATCCTGGCAGTTTCAGGCCAGTAAGCTTAATTTCTATAGCAGGCAAATTGGTTGAAAGCAGAGTAAAGAACAGAGTTATCAGACACATAGATAAATATGACTTGTTGGGGGAAGAGTCAACATGGCTTCTGTAAAGGGAAATCGTGCTTCACTAATCTATTAGAAATCTTTGAAGGGGTCAACAAACATATGGACAAGGCCAGTGGATATAGTGCACTTGGCCTTTCAGAAAACCTTTGACAAGGTCCCTCACTAAAGATTATTAAGCAAAGTAAGCAAACATGAGATAGGAGGGAAGATCCTCTCATGGATCAGCAGCTGCTGAAAAGACAAGAAACAAAAGGTAGGAATAAATGGTTTGTTTTCAGAATGGAGAAAGGTAAATAGCGAGGTCCTCCAGGGATCTGTAATGGAACCAATGGTGTTCAGCAAATTCATAAATGATCTGGAAAAAGGGGTAAAGAATGAGGTGGCAAAGTTTGCAGATGACACAAAATTATTCTAGTCCAAAGCAGACTGTGAAGAGTTACAAAGGGATCTCACAAAACTGGGTGACTGGACAACAAAATGGCAGATGAAATTCAATATTGATAAATGCAAAGTAATGCACATTGGAAAACATAATCCCAACTGTACATACAAAATGATGGGGTTTAAACTGGCTGTTACCACTCAAGAAAGAGATCTTGGAGTCATTATGGATGGTCTCTGAAAACATCTGCTCAATGTGCAGAGGCAGTCAAAAATGCCTACAGAATGTTAGGAACCATTAGGAAAAGGATAGATA